AATATACCTATATATTATAGTGTAGGAGAGCACACCACCATAAGGTAAAACACTAACCCCTATTGGAAATTTGTGCTTAAGATGAAAATATCAAATAACAAAATAAGTGGATTGGGCAAGGAACTAATTTGAGATTCAATGTCATGACAGCTGACAATGGATAGAGTATGGCCGATGCTAAGAAGAAGAACACGCGTGGGTATAATAGGTATATATTTAATATTATATTGTACAGAAAATGATCAACCAAAGATATTTCACATCTTCCAAGACGTAATTTACGATTTAAATTTATAATTGCTAACAATAAGGTCAATAATATTGTAAATAACAAAACAGTCCGCAACGAACTTTTTGAAAACTTTAGTATAGTTTAGTACATAGTATAGTTTTGAATGGCATAGTGTTTAAATTTTCATATGGATATAAGCAAATAATGTACTAAACCCGTACATAATATTTAATCAGTTGAGTTAACTCATAAAATTAAATACTTTCAAGTTTTAATTATGACTTGTGGATAACATTTAAAAACATTAACCAACAAATAGAATATATTATAAATCTGTTATAGCATCATATCTGTATCATGGAACCCAATATAACCTATTAAACCATTAATATATTTTTTTACATGTAGGTATAAATTCACAACTTTGAGATTTAAGTAGTGGTGGTGGTTGTAAATTGGGTCTATAAATTATGACCATACTAAACCTATTCGAAAATGGTACCTAATCTAATTATACAGTATTCTTTCAAAATGAGAATAATTATTGTTGTTTTGCTGGTTACAAAGATTGTTAAATTATAGAAGTTATTATATAATAAAGAAAATTCAGTATAATTATTTTCATTTTTTTTTTTTTATATAATATATCGTCTGTTACCTCTATCCTCTGTAAATGCGTATAGGTACACGTCTCATATTATTTTAAGTCTGTCAGTCTGTGGAGTCATTAGTCGGAGAAGACCGTATGACGAGCAGCCAAATGGAGTTATTATACCACTATTAATATGATCTACCCGCAATTATCTCTAGGATAAGAGAGACCATCTATAATTTATTTTTGTAATTTTTTTTATTAATCGTCAGTACTTCCGGAATATTAATATAATATTTTCAGATTTTTCTGTTAAACAACTTTAAGATAATAAGAATAGTAAACAAAAAAATTGGTACTAGATAATGATACTTGGCGTCTTTTCAAGCCCTTTAAGCAAACTAATGAGTTCTTGGCTGTTTACTAATGGAATAAACTTAAATAATTAAACTTGAAAAAATAATCTTAAATAATAATAAACGTTGGGCTTAAAATAAAAACAAATCCTACGTCATGTGATTTTAATAAGTTTGTATACGTTTTTATATTATACATATTTTATACATTCATTAAACTATTAAAGTATAATTTAATTTATCTTTAGATTAAAATATACATATAGTACCTACACATGGATCTAACAGTATTCGATATTATGTATTAATGTGTATACAAATCATACCTGTATCTCATAAACCAGTTAGGTAATTGACTAATATCTGTTTTAGATTTTTTAAGCTGCAGTATAAAAGTTAAGTGACTCTAAAACTATATGAAAAATAAGAATACCTATAAGAAAACATTAAAAAAAGAACAAACTTTTTTTTTTATATTATATTAATATCAAAATTTATCAAGTTATTTTACTTTTTACGTGAAACAAAATCCTTCATTTGCTCTATAGTATACTAGCTATTTTTGATACAGCTAGTTACTTCACAGAGTCATGCTTTGAAGTTTATTATCAAGCAAAAAAAAAAATAAATAATATTATTCACTGTGTGTGTAATACTGTAATATGTATGAATTTATATAAAAATATATAAAATAACCTAAAAATGTAATTTATTTTCCACTCATTCGAATGACACGTAATGCAACGATGCTTTACTTATTAATGTACTAAAACATGTAAATTGATTACCTGTCAAAAAGTTATGCGTTAACGAAAAACATTAATCGGGGAAAACGTACTCGAAATTTAGTCGTTTGCAGAGCATTCGCCAGCAAATAAGACGAAAAAAAAAAATGTCTAAAATAACAAAAAAATAGAGTTCGAGTGGGAAAATTGTTTGCTCGGCCCGTTTGGAAACGCGATTGAAGTCACGCGCGATGCTTAGGGCGATCGTACGGCTCTGATAAAAGTCCACGTCGGTTTAGAAACTGTTTGTTATTTATTCTATTTTTCTTCTTCACACAAGTTGTAGGCGCCCTCCGCTCAGTGTGCATAATGTAACACCATATAGTGTGTACATAATACACACACATCACAATATTATATGTGCTTACGACAGTGCGTACATCGTGCATGTACTAATATTATATAGGTATGACGTTACTGTTTTTTGAAATACTCGCACATCGCGGGTAAGTTCGTAATTGTACTAAACGCTAACTCTTAGCGTAATTAAACGGGGAGGACGTGGGTCTATACCCGTCTATACATACTTTGTTGTTATTGTTTTTTTTTTCATAAGATATTGTTGTGTACATATTTGCATTAAAAACGACCTGGGAACAAAACGCTAAATAATTTTTTATATATAGAAATATATTATACACCCCTTATAATATATATATATATATAGGTACTATTATAAAGGTACAATATATTGTATAGTGTTCGCAGAACGTACATATTATTCACCCTCCGAAAAGACATGACATCGCGGTTATGGAGTTGTAATAAACGGAAAAGGGCGATTGACGCATGGTAAGTATGTATATATAGGCACTGCACGCGGCGATGGTCATCTATATATTGGCCTACGAACGAGTTCCACTCAGAATCTAAATTCCCCTACTACAAAATATAATATATGATAATGTTATAATAATAATAATAATAATACGATACCTATACTATGTACACTTTCTTGTTTCGTAGCAACGAATTATCACGCAAACAATGGTAAAACTGTATAATATAATGTGTGGGTATCTACAACACTCATAAACAATGACAGGCGTATAGAAATAATATTATACCGATGCATGCGATTACAAAATAATAATCATATTTTTATTGAAATGTTACTTTACTTCGCGTTCACGTCGTACGCATTTGGTTCTATACGGCATAATATACCTCCGTACACCTAAATTCATATACCTACTTGTTAAGTATATCAATATTTTTTTTTATTTTGAATACTTATTTTTAATTACAAAACACTAAAAAAAAAAAATAAACCCAATTTTATTTTTATGATTAAGTACTGTCTATAGTATAGGCTCTATACTATTATGAGGATTTGTCTGTCTGTTTCGACTTAGTCACACCATTCAATTAAAAATACTTTATATATTAAATCAAAAAAAAAAAAAATATTTAGAAAAATTCCAATCTTGAAGAGTTCTTAATTCTTACAGACAAGTAATAATTTAAAATGATTTAATTGTATACCTATGATTAATTAATTATGACCAATATACCTTATAATATACCTGTATTATCTTATTTAATATTATTAAGTTTAACTTAGATTTTGGTGATTCATTTATTCAGCAAAATGTCAATCTGGATGTCCAACAACTAGCGATGTTACTTTTTTTTAAATATTAGTAATAATAATTAAAATAAACATGTAGAGTGCATAAGAAACTAATAAATATGATCAAAATAAAAAAAAATAGTTTATGTATTATAATAGAATGGCATACACGATACACTGTATGCCGTCAGCCGTCAGGTCTGTACAATATAATATGATATGTTAAAATGTATTTGAATGTTTTAGAAAAATATTGTATAATTTAATTTATTTTTTGGAGTTTTCTACTAATAACACTAGGTGCCGACATCGTTGGACAGAAGTATGTGCCTCAGTAATGTCGGGCTAATAGTTTATTTTTTGTCATCTATATTTACTAGGTATAAGATCTCTGTAATCGATTTAACGACACACCCGCTTGATCAAGGGTAGCGTCTAAGTGGAACTATGTTCAAGTCTAACCCTTCCTCGACCAGCTGATCTCGGCCACATCACTGGCAAGCCTCCAAGAAACAACAATTCCGGCTCACCCTTGACCACGTGTCAATTTTTACACTTTATTTTTACTATTTCGTTATAATTTTCCACGACGTTTTCCGTTGCACAATTACCTACAAGTTTTTTTTTTTTGTTTCCGCTGTATACTGCTCGGCGGTGGGCGGGTTTAGAGCCCCTGCCCCTCTGCAGCACGATATTTTGCATTTTTATGGTCACCCGCGACCCATTAACGTGCCTATTTTTAACTCGAGCTTCGAATTATGTACATTATTTTAGTGGGTTTAATATTCCGAACGCACAGACCTGGAGAATCGTTAAAGCAAACGAATAAATCAAGCGACGAATATCCGACGCCGCAACGTTGTTCAGTTTCTATCGTATATAGGTAGGTACTTTATGTGCACAGCACCGTCCCCGTGGACTGTGCTCGTATTTCGCGTTCGTCGTCGACCGTGACCAAGTCACCGCACGGTCGAATTATGAAACCGTGTATGAACATAATATTAATATATTAGACATGTTACATATTGATACCAAAATTATGTCCATTGCCCGCTCTATATATATGCCATCGTTGTTACGCTACATGACGTGGATTAACATACTAGAGGGTGGTGACTTCATGGGGTCGAAAAGTCGAATCATTTTATAGTTATAATTGTTGTTGTTGTTGTACGAATTTTTGCTACTCAACGTCGTAGGAAATCGGTTTCTGCGTAGGAACCGTCTCGAAGCCCACTCGATTGTGTTAACTTCCGTAAACAAAAGGAAAATAGCGTCATGAGTCTGTGCTGTCACCTGTCGGGTATCTCAATGGTAGAGTAATCGCCCGGCAAACGAAAAACCTGCAGGATTCGGTTGCAAGATGCATGTCCCGTCCAGAATGTCGTTGGACCGTAATCGATGTTACGACGAATACTATAAAAGACTATAGGTGCAGGCGTATATTTTTTTTTAAATAGTAATGCGAATTGATAAAACTGATACCGATAAACCAACATTATTGCAAATTCTGAATTTGGAGTGCCAGGTTGATGTAGTTACTTGTGATATATACGTTATCGGGTTATGTCATCAATATTATGAAAAAAAAAAATTCATTGACTTGAAAACTACTGAATATTCGCACGCGATCGGAAATTACCAGTACAGTATACAGTATGTATACAGTCGGGATTTGAATAAAAACTCTATTAAAGGCGATTGGGTTGAGGTCGGGGAGGTTTGCGCAATGGTACGTGGTACGCACATTTACGTCAGCTGAAAAATAAATAAAACAGAAAATTGAAACTTAGATCTGGTCTGTCCTTTGCAATGACGTCCACGCAACAATAACATTGTCATACCTGTAATGTACGATAATGTACGATAATATGAATAATAAAGTTATGATCAATGCGTATGATATACCATAACAGTGCTTACAGCTTGTATTTTATTATAATATTATATATACCTACGTACTACGCACGACTCGTGTTGACTGCGTGGTGCTACGTTATGGCTTCTTCCCCCTTTCCTCACTTAATTTCGTTTCATATTATAGTTTTCTTATCAACTAATAATCGTACACGAGCATTTTTTTTTCAAAACATTGGAACAGCAGCGGCAACAGCAATACTATTGTCGTGTCCTTGACACGTCAAAACACTTAACAACGTTTGCGAATAATTAATATACAAAATGATAATATTATATCACTTAATATTATATATTTACTACAATAATATCGTAAAAGTATTTTGCATAAGTACCCACAGGTATGTATAGTACGGTCTTCAAATAAAAAAACAAACAAACACTCAAATATATATATATATATGACCTACCTATAGGTATTTGTGTTTTCAATTTGATATAATAATATCAACGCTGTTTTTAATTGATCGGCTCACCGGCTTATACTTAAGTGCGTATTTATCTATTTTTATTTATTACTGTTGTTTAAAAATTGTACGGTTTAGCCGTGTACTTACGTGTTGAGTAGGTTAAGTATTTGTTATTTTTAATAATTTTTATAATACCTTATATGTTTAATATCAATATTGAGCTCTTGAAAAAACCTGGTAAATCTATAAGCACTCTTAAAATAGTGCAAAAATTAAAATTTTTTCATAGCTTTTTTTACTAAAATAAAGGTAATTTCATGAATAACGTTTGATATGTATATGTAGTAAATTCGTGTATGTTGGGAAGCCAAATAGCGCATCGGTTGTTCTTATAATGTTTGAAACAGAGTATAGGTACCTTTTCAATATATTTTATCGGTTTGCACGTATATGATAATTCTGTTGCGTGCATTTGTCGACTATATAGAAATTGCGAACGACAATAATTTCTCTACACACTCTTTAGGATATTTTTTACGGCACGTTTCGAAAATGATTTGTAGCGCTTAAATCGACTATATGATATTTTATAATAAATGTAGGTACCTATATCCTCAAAGGTGAACACAGTTTATGGACGGGTTTTACGAGCGTATATGGATTTAAATAACAATAACCCAATACCTGAAAAAAAAGATAATGTAATAATAAAATGCGAAGAGCGCTAAAAATCTCACAATAACTCACATACTGTACGTGTGCATATTATTATACCTACTAGTTAAAGACGAAAATATATTTATTTCTTGTTTTACAACCATGATGTAAAATTATTTTCTAATTTTTATGGGAAAAATAAACGAAATTAATATTTGGAGTTTTTTTAGTGCTTTGAACTGCGCGTACACGCCAAAGCGAATTGAAAGGTTCACCGTACGCAATAATAAAATAACGCTGATGAAAAAATATAAAACTTAGTTTTTATGGTGTACTGCGTCCGCATATTATATATATCGGTCTGTATTGTCGTCGGATCTTTGAAATAATATATATATATTATTATACATGGACAGTATATATACGCGTATAGAGGACCCTTCGATTCCAGAGGACATAAAACACGACTGTAGCTCTGCCAAAATAACCGTAGCCATACAAGCTTAATTGACTCAAGTGGTCGTAAAATTAAGCCCATCAAATATGTCGTCAACCGGCATCTGGGTTTCGACGGCCTCGGCCAGAACAATAAAAACGGCGTTCTTTTTAATTTTAAAAATCACACGATGAACGCGCGCGCGCTCGGCCCCAGTCCACGTGTGAGCTGCGATCTCCCCGTGACGAAACTAAACCAACCTGTGACTAAAAACAGATCAAAAACTTTTGTCGTGTACGACCGTCGCGACGGTGGAAGTGATCGGTTGCATGAGATTCAATCGTGGGCGCAATGTCGACACTCTAAAACATAACGTACGAGCTGGATATTATTATATCACTGCAAAGAGAAGAGGAAAAAAAATCCCATGGCTTCCACCACGACTGATGCAGGGAGAAAAGTGGTTGTTTATTGCAATAGTTTTTATTTTTATTTTTCACCGCACACGTACGTGACATTAAAATTCCAAACCTGCGCCGAGTCGAAATCGAAAGATGTGTTTCCAAAATTGATACGCTGGGGTGCATTCAAACCCCCTCTGGAATTGATCATATATATATAATACATTATATACACATGCATGTATTATACCCTGCCAACCCGTTTCGTATATATAGTATTAAATTATGGATAATCATTGGAACGACGACGTCTGGAAATAATAAGATACGTGTTCAGTTCGGTTTCAATTTAGGATATGAAACGGAAAATGAAAAACTGTTCCGATGATTCTATGGATGTGCAGCAGTTGTAGTTGGTGTTGGGAGCAATAGGTATACACGAAAACCATACTATTCAGTGAATTTTAATCCACTACGGGTATAAAATTATTGTTGATAATATCATTACCTACTGTAAAAAATTTAATAATTTCGATTTATTACGAGCAATTATGATACAACAATACTATAGTATATAATATGCGCATATTCAGAAATGATTCATGCACAGTATGCGGTGCAGGAGATGAATGCCGCAAACAAACAATAGGTTTTTGATTAAACATTGTTTAATGTTATTATTTCGTTGAATTTCAGAAATATTCACAATTATAACCTAGATATTATTATTTTGTAACGTGCGCTTGTGTTTTATACTTTTATTACATAATTAATGTAACGTTTATGAATTTATTTGTTTTTATTCTTATATAAATATAAAATATCATAGTACTAACTATTCATTTAAAAAAAATAAAAAAAATACCTATATTTAATTTAATGATGAATTATATTAATAATAATGGCGTGATGGATATAAAATTATAAACTATAAAGTACATATTTATTAAAAAAAAAAGCTACATCAGTGTGGAGTTAATATTACACACACACACACATACACACGTGCTAGAGTACATATATATTGTATATAATAAGTATACATTGAATATACATTAAAAACATTTATAGCAATTACCATATAATTATTATAGTGTAAGGTTAGTTACATCATCCTTCAGTTTGATAATTTAATGAATAATGTTCTTGAAAGCAATTACTGGCAATATTTTTAAAGTGTGCAAGTTAATATTCTATATCTACACATAAATACATATATTATCGAGTCCAATAAGAGACCGAGTGAAATATGTTTTGATGTTTTAGAATTATATATATTATTATGTGCTCGAATAAAAATGAAATATAGCCGTTATAAATATTCACGTACAGACTGATCGACGATTTTTTATTCTATTTTATTACCGTGGATAAAGTAGGTATATAATATATAATTACATAATATACCTACAGATTCTCATAATATTGTATATTATATATTATATCTGTATATTATTGAATAATTTCAACGCAAAAACACCGCACAACGAAACGACTGTGTATATTGACGTGTTATATTGTTGTACGGTTAAACTATAATAGCATTATAATAATATGCGTACATTATATAAATGTCGAATGGTTATGAAAATAAGAAAATATGTGTGTGAATGTGTGAGCTGAGATTTTTGATTTCGTCACCCAAATACGACGAGCCAATGTTTCGCTTCTAACTGCGGTCGAGAGCGGTTCGTACTCCCACCTGTTCTGAATTACGATGGAAGATTAATATTCTAGTATCGAGTCGTCTGTTTTTTTTGTTCACTCACTGACTGTAATCCTCTATCCCAATAGTCATAATACATATATATATATAAATATATTGTACACAACATCTATTTTTTGTCTTGACTAATATTGTATACAATCAATTAATTATATTATACGCTCGGTGATATCGAATGTTATTGATGGGCTCTCAATCACATGTGTTATATACAATGAAATATAATATATATACTTACTTGAGTGAAAAAATAACGAATATTCAAAATCAAAATTCAATTTTCAAAATTATTTACCTAGAAGGCAAGAAACCTCCATTTTAATAAACTACCAAAAAAGTGATTTGTTAAAGTAACAGTTTTTTGTATACCTAAAATACGTCATGTATAATGTTTAATTAAATAACATAAATTACATTGATTTTTACTGACTTATATAAACGGAAAATATACAGTATGCATCGCTGTATATAATATGTTATTATACAATAAAATATAATGTTTTATTTGTTAGCTTTTACTGAAGTTAACTTTTTTTTAGTATCAAAACATTTTACCTTGTATAATTTATTTCGACAGTTATTTTACTTATGGTAGGTACTTAAAAGTGGCCATTTTTTATTTGCACATTAGCTTCCCTTAACGTAATGACAAACTTGCACAACACAAACAACACGAAAGAAAATTAACTGAATGGATCCACTTATAATCCTCTTCTGATGTTACCGATTTTAGTTAGTTTTAGTCTTTTAGTTCAAGTGTTCAACAAGTAATAACCTTAAAATCGAAATTCTTACTAATTTTCAATTTTATGCATTGATTTTTTATATTGTGTACATGAAAAGTAGTAGAAATGATTCAATTTTCAACTTTGAGGGTGCTATCTAATAGAAAATTGAATCTAATTGATGATTTCGAAAAGTAAAAATTGAAGATTCCTATAGTTTTCAAAAACTATTCAAAAGTTAAAAACGGAAATTTTTACGCAAAACCAGTTTTTGACAAAAACTATTCTTTTTTTGTAGTTAATCTTAAAAAAAATTAAGACAAATACTTAAAATTTTTAACAAATATTTATATGACCATTTTCCATACAATATATAGTTTTCAAAATATTTAAACTCTTTTTGATCCATCTAAATGGGCACTTGACGTTTTAATTTTTTTACCTTTTTTTACCTAATTAATAAAAATACTACCTAAATATCGGTAGTAAT